CCCCGAGCCGTCTCGGAGCCGGAGAGGGCGCCGAAAGTGAGTACTGCCAGGGGTGTGTGGGGCAGCCAGGCCGGTTTGGGGCCTGCTGAAGATTTTTGATGTGCGCCTCAGCCTCGGGCGGTCGGTATCAAGCTCTGAATGTTTTGGGGCTTTAAGTGGTTGTAGTCGTGGGGGTCGCGGTTGGGGCTGCGGGGGCCAGAGCCCATCTTGTGGCCAGGGCTGAGCAGTGGGGTGACCTGTTTGGGGGCCTCGGCCCCTGGCTGTTTTCCTGCTGGCTGTGGGTGCTTTGGGTGTGACTCGTGAGGGCAGTCGGGGGGCTGAGGAGCTCCGACTTGAGGTGTGCGCGCTGCGGCATCCAAGGGAGCGCGTTGGATGGAGCCACAGTGGAGGAGCGTTGTGCCAGGGAACCTTTTCTGGAGACCGTGGACGGTTTCTGGAGTGTCCTTGTGCTCCCCGCTTTTATACAGGTGCTGCCTCCGACGTTCCCAGGCAGGGCTTGTGTGTGCTCTTAGAGGCACGCAGCTGCATTTCAAACTCCGGAGGACATGGGGTGCAGGGGGCGTTGGGAAGCATGGGGTGCAAGCTGGCAGGGGAATGATAGACAGTGTATACTGGAAGGGACCTCTGGCTGTCAGTAGCTCGCCCCCCTATTCAAAACAGGGCTGAGGAGTTAGACTGAGTCCGTCAAGGCAGTGACGTTAGGGCTAGCGTCAGCCGACAGCTCTGCCGTCACTTGTGCCCTTTTGGGAGATGACCTGTCCGATAACCTGTTCCCCTAACAGAGGAAACGAGAGTCGGAGAGTGAAAGTGAGGAGGCTGTCACCCCACCGTCCCCTGCCACCCCACCGCCAGAGGAGCTGAGCAAAAAGGAAAAGAAAAAGAGGAAGAAAGACAAGAAGGCCAAAGAGGCTGCCGAGAGTGGGGGAGAGCAAATGGAAGTGGTATGTGGCTGGGTGCTGCCATGGCGGGGTCCAAGCCCTGAGGGGGGAGATTGTTGTTTGTTGCTAGTTCCTCTAGGCTAAGCGTGTCAGCATCCCGCTGTGTATGTCCTCAAAGTACCAGGGGCCCCGCAGGCGGGGGGAAGGTGTCTCAGTATGGGCTTGTTTGTGAGCTGGGCTGGATGAGGGTGGGTGAGAGATACTGGGTAGATGAGGCTTGTGGGGGCGGATCAGCAGTGAGGAAGGGACGTGGCAGAGCGTATGGGTTGAGCATCCCTCTGTGCCTGGGACGTTTAGTGGGTACCTGTTCCTGGCTACCTGTGGTGCCCTATAACAGGACCCTGCTGGAGGGTGGTGCATGGCCTAGCATGATGCTGGCTTGTAGTAAAGGTGCTTGTATGGTGCTTAGGGGGGGAGGGAGGAGGGACTGCAGCTGTGGGAAGCCTGCATGGCGTCTGGAGTGGGGCTGCGGCGTTTGGATACCTGGGGCTGTGTGTGTGGGAGGGGGAAGCGAAGATATGTGCTGCTGTGAATGCCTCATCCGCCTTCCTGTGGTGCCAGATGTCCCCCCGGAAATGAGCAGTAAGCGATTCCTTTTTGATTCCTTCCTGATCTCTCCAACCTCTTCACAGACCAGTGAGACCAGCACCAAGAAGAAGAAGAAGAAACAAAAGGAGGTAGAAGAGAGCTCGGAGTAAGCGACTGGACCTGTCCAAAGCAGGCGACCTCATCGGTGGGGAGGGAGGAGTCTGAGGCCTTGAGGAAAAAGAGGACTGGCAGCGGGGCCAGCACGTTCCAGGCTCCTTTTCCGCTGTGTATATGAGCGAGAGGGTGTGTTCGCCCAGAGTATGCCCTGTTTAGGTGCCTCTCCTCATCCTGTTTTAAGGGTAGCCAGAGGAGAGGGGTGCCTGCCTGACTGCCCCTGCACTGGACTGCTCTGTGAAGCTGGATGCCTTGATGCCAATAGAAGTGGTATCTTCAGGGAAGTCGCAGCTCCTGGCTCTTGGTGTCTCCGTTTTCACTATGAGAGGGAGGAATAACAGTTTCCCCCTTCTCTTGTCCTGCCTCTTTCTTCCTTCTCTTCCACGGTCAGAGCTGTTACCCGACAGTCGCAGAATGTGTTGATGCCTGAGAACTGGCCCAGTCCTTGCCCATCTCAATGGGTTTGGCATGGGGACGGTGGAAGCGGTTATTTTAAGGGCTCTGGTTTTAAGCTTGCCATGTGTTTGGCTTGACCCTCAGCTAGCTGAGATGAAATATTCCACCAAAGGATATTCTTTGGTGCTTTTTTTT